GCCCCTGGCATTTCACTAGCCATTCTTTGTGGGTCAACCAGTCACAAACTTCCTGTGACTTCCTAGGCTGTGGGGCACATAGGTAAGCTCTCCTGTATGCTTGGATAGTGTAACAATCCAGCGATGTCTTAAAGTATACAGTGTCAGGGGAAGCCTTGGGAGGCGGAGGCAGGAGGGTTGCCGCAAGTTCAAGGGCAGCGCGGACTACTTATTCAATTCAAGGTCAGCCTGAAGTACAAAGGAGTCCCTGCAATCAAAGAAAGGACAACAACAAAAAACAAACAGAACAACCCCAAATTTCTCTCAGTTCAGACAATTTACAAGGATGGATAATGTGAAAATGATAGATAAATAGGTAGATAGATAGATAGATAGATAGATAGATAGATAGAGGCTGGAGGTATAGCTCAGTGACGTAAGCGCCTGGCTGGCAAGTGCAAGGTCCTGAGTTTGATCCCTGGTTGGGGGGGAGGGGGATAGTTGCTGAGTCTTGTTGTGAATCTCAGGCTGGCCTTGAATTGTGGAAATTCTCCATGTCCCATTACAGTTGCACCCCTCGTTGCCTGGGAAGCAAAAATAATAGTTTATTGGTAGAACTTTGAGAATCACTTGCTACATGAAACTCAATTTCTTGTATAGCCAGCCAAATAGCTCAGCAGATTAAAATGCCTGCAAGCAGGCACAGGAACTGGGGGTGCGATCCCGATCCCTGGGCCTGCCTGCCTGGCCCTGGCCCTGGGGTGTGCTGAGATGGTGACTGAGACTGGGCGTGGCAGTGTGTGCCTGCAATCCCAGCTCTCGGGAGGCTGTAAACAGGCGGAGCACTATGAGTCTGATCTAGTAGTGAGACCTTGAACACCTTGTAGACCACCCTTCCCTAAAATGCAAAAAAGAAACTCAATGTCTTGCTTGTACCAAATCTGAAATAAACTGCTGTAGAGTAGCTTGGTTATGCCAGAGCTGTCTAGTAGATAGCACAAAGGATGTGACCTGTCATATTTTTGCTTAGTAAATTATGTATGGCTGGGGCCAGAGAGATGGCTCAGTGGAATAAGCGCTTCCCTGGCAAGTGCAAGGACCTGAGTTCAATCCCTGGTTCCACAAAAAGAAAAAAAAAAGTATGGTTTATAAAATTAAAATAATCTAGACTTCACAAATCTAAGCAAGGAGGTCATGTCAACTTGATACCTAAATGTTACTGTTGCCACTTCATTCTCTATCAGCCAGCCAGCCACCTCCCATCCCACCCCCACCCCTTGTAGTATTTTGTTTCTCTTCAGGGCCTGCTTCAATTTTATTTTATTTTATTCTATTTTTATTTTTATTTTTTAAGACAGGAT